AATTTAGTCTGGCCTTCTCTGAGCTACTTTTGGTTAGGGAGGTTTGGTTCAAGAATGTTTCATTTCTATCCAAGAAAAATCTCCCAAAAGTGTTTTCAGTTAATTTTGCACTTGTATCCTGTTCTGTTACTCCAGAGTTCTTGATCAGATTTGCTGTGGTCTGTTTGGTATGTTTTCCTGACACATATCCCAGCAGTTTCTTCTAATCATCAGGAATCAGGGATACGTGTGTAATCTGCTCCCCGGGGTCTCTGATTTGGGACTGAAATTAATAACGTGAGGCGATAAGATGGCAACAGATAAAAGGATTACATTAGACACCGTTGCTGACATTAACCTCTAGCTATCATAGCTTTAGCTAAACCGCTAATTCTATTAAGCCCTTTGTTTTGGGATTTCGGTGCCAAATAGATTCTGGCATATGTGCAATAGAGTCCTCATTAGGATGCAAAGGCTGTATGGCAAATAAGATACAGGCCTAGAGATGCTGTGAGTGCTTGGTTTTGATAAACAGAGATATTTAACTGCACATAAAGGATGAGTTCATCTCACACTGTTTTTTCTTTTCCTTCCCTCCATCTGTCGTTTCTTTTTTAAATCACTGCAATAGAAAACTCAGTCTTTCTGCAAGTTTCAGATCTTAAACCTACAATGTTTAGAATCTCTAGGCACAAGTCCCTACTAGTGTTCAGAATCTCTGACTCATTCCTGCCAATTTGGTTCCTTCAAACGGTTCCACAAACAACTCGGTTATTCTCATGTGTTCCAGTTCAGTCAAATTGAAATTAATGTCACATAAGGTCACATGTTGCCTACAGCACTTTACTTGCACATTAAATAAACATATTAAATATGGGACTCGGCTCAAGCACTTACTGTAGATCTCCCCTTGAAGTAAAGCAAAAATAAAATAGATTTTTTTGCTAGCATTTAGTAATAATATAGCTGTTAACAAATAAAGGAGGAGGGATGCTGAAAGAAATATCACCAAAGTATGCTTACATATTCTTGAAACCTGATATATGAAACATGACAATGAAATATGAAACATGAAATTTGATATGTGAAACATATATAATATGAAACATGAAACATGGCAGGATTAAGCGAACAAGCTCCTCCCAAATTTACATCTGGATCTTCATTATTTTGACACATTGACAGTTTTAGGTTAAATTGACAAATATTGAATAAATATGCCTATTATAGCACCTTTAGAGTTACATAACCCATACAGACAGTGATGCTGCTGCTGCAAAAAAATATAATATTTGTGCCTTAAGCATATAGTTCATTAGTCATAAGCAACTCTCCCTTGTCTTACATAAGCTATGATTTTGCTTAGTAATAAAGATCTGTCATATTCTCATATTCAGACTGAAAATGTAATATTTATTAATATTTATATGAATAATATTTACTTAGAAAAATTTGGTAAGTGTTCAATGTTCATACCATGTTCAGTATGAAATGCCCAGACCAATTCATTGAGTGAATGGTGAATTTGTAGATTGGTTCAATCAACTGATTCATAAATATTGATATCTTGAGACGTTCCAGAACTGAAGTCCAAGAGGCTCCAAAACGTGGCTCCGGTGTCAGAACTGAGCCGTACACTGGGCAGCAAACTCTCTCTATCCTGCTCTGATCTGATGAATCACAGATGCTCAGAGGTTTTGATGTGCTATATAATCCTCCCTCAACTTATTCTATCTCTCCGCTTGCCTCTCTCACACTCTCTCTCTCTCTTCTTCTCTCTTCACTTTCCCTCCTCCCCGGAGCTTCCTGTGCATCTTCACACATCCTTCTCACATTCACTCCATTTGTCTATTCTCTGTATCTCTCTCTCATCTTATTCTCTGTTCTTCTTCTCTTCTCTCCTCATTAAAGAGCGAGTGCTTGAGTCATACTTCGGGTAACAAGCACTGCCAGGTATCCCTGAAGGGTGGTGTGTGTGTTTGTGTGTGTGTGTGTGTAGGAGTCTGATGCAAGTCTTTTTACCTCAGTCCAGTCCAGTTATTTATGTCTCAGCATGTGACAAAATTTCTTTCTCCCTTGATGCAGCTTATTTTCACTTTAAAGTGAAGTATATGTGCAAATTAATATCTAGAGTGACATGAATCTGCTAGCCAAGAAAGAAGAAAGAAAGAGTTCTATATTGCTTTTATAACAGTTCAATAAACAAGAAGATAACACTCAGTAACTGACACAATATTACCATTTACATTCCGCCAATAAACCCGCAACAGAATTAACTTTTTTTTCTCCTAGCAACATGAACACATTGTAGCATTCAGTTCCTGAATGAATCCATGTTTTTTAACAAATCATGTGAGTGAATGATTCAATGACTTACTTAACTTGCCCCTATTATGCCTTTTCGAATATTACCTTTCATGCAGCATGTCATGTAGCTGTATGTGAACATAAACTATCTGCAAAGTTGTGACAGTGCACGATAAATAAAGTTATTGTCCATCAAAAAAAGAGTCGGCTCACAATCGCCTAAACGAGTCGTCAGGAATTCGAATCTTATTCTGTTACAGCTCTATGTCACGAAGTAACACATTTGTATAATGTCTGCCCACGTTCTACGTCGCCAAATTGCCCGCTCACAAACAGTAAAATTTCCATGTGGTTAACATCATGTCGAGAAGAAGCTGTATCCTACGCTGTGAGAGTAAATTTGTTTTATCACATTTTATAATTACCACAAACTTGTTAACACTTGACACTTACCACTAAGAAACGTCCTGCTCCAGTCGTGCTTGCGAATCAGTCTCTTGTCGATCAGCCAGTTCAACCGTTTCATCATCAAACCCTGGCTCGAATTGGTAAGGTACAATCGATACCATCTTTTCTATGTATTGTCAAGTCTGCAGGGCTGTCATTCTGTCATGGCAATGGGCGTTTCGTTTCCGACACGCGCTGTACGCGGTAGACCAATCCAGAGCCAATCTCTCTATGGATCTGGACCAATCACAAAGGACTGCGCCATCTGACCAATCACATCAGTGAGGGCTCATGGAAAGGAGGGGTTTAGAGAGACTGATTCTTTGAACTGCTTCGCACGAGTTGTTTACGAATCATTTAGAAATGAGGTAAAATGAAATCTATTTTTTGAGAAAACTAACGTGTTTTTTGACCTTGTTTGGGTCATGAATCCCAATGAATTTCTGTTTCTGAATGAATCAGTGTGTTTGACCTAATCGTTTGAATGAATGATTCAATGATTCTCTTATAAAGATAGTCAGTGTTTTTTTCTGAATGAATCAGTGTGTTTGAACAAATCATTTTAGTGAATTATTTAATTACTCACTTATAAAGATAGTGGTTTGTTTCTGAATTAATCAGTGTTTGAACAAATCGTTTGAGTGAATGATTCAATGATTCACTTATAAAGATAGTGATTTGTTTATGAATGAATCAGTATTTTGTGAACAAAATGTTTAAGTGAATGAGTCATTTACTCACTTTTAAAGTCAGTGGTGTTTTGTTCTGCAATAAATCTGTGTTCTTGAGCGAATTGGTTGAATAAATGATTCAGCAACTCACTCATAAAGACAGTCAATGATTTCTTTCTGAATAAAGCAGTATGTTTGAACAAATCGTTTGAGTGAATGATTAAATTATTCGCTTATAAAGTCTGGTGTTTTGTTCTGCAATGAATCTGTGTTTTTGAATGAATCATTTGAGTGAATGATTCAATGACTTTCTCATAAAGAGTTGTTTCTTTTCTGAGGGTTGGAACGAATCGGTTGAGTGATTCAGTGACCTAAAGACAGTCATTTGTCACCTCCTACTGACATAATGATGTAGCCTGCAGACTATTGTTATTGTAATAAGAAATTAACTTAACCTCTAAATGTCATCTGCGCAAACATTTTTTTTAACAATCATGTCCTACATTGGAAATTAGATCTTTGTTCTTACATTTTTTCTGGAGGCATCAGTTTTACAGCTTTCCCACAGTATCATGAGAAAAATTTTACCAATGTATGCTAATTCATCCTCGTCCAGAAATCAAACTTTTTTAGTTTTCGTCCAGGTTTAATAATGGACAGTGGAGTTTTCTTTTATCTAGCTGAATGCATATGACAGAACTGCAGCTCAACATTAACTGCACTGATGTAATCTGGGGTTACTTGTCTGATTCGATTTGAATTTAAAAGTACAATTTACAATGAAATGCAAATTTATTCACACCACTCCTTTATGTGCCAAAAGGACCCACCACTAAAAGTCGAGAAAGATTCCTTCTTGATGCCTTCTGAACGACTCCCACTCGATAACAAAGGAATGCATGTGATTGCAAATGTTTCATCATCTGATTAAATTAAAAGTTTGGATTGAAGAATGTTAAGAACCGGTTACTTCACACAAGTCATTGAAATATACAGTTCTGCTGACATTCATCTTTGTGAAACTGTGTCAAAGTTGCTTGTCGCAGCTGTGACTGAATGTTTCATACAGCCTAATGCAGTTAGGACAGAAAGAAATCCGGTACATTTACAGAAATCCAATGTCACGCTGACTGCATTTTTATTTACACCTAAACAAAAATTGGTTTTGCTTCCAATATCCGTGAAATTTGATTAATTTAAACATACAAGCAAATGTCAAATTTTTATATCCTATCCTAAGTTATTGCATTACTTTTCTCTAAGGGGCCCTAAATGAATCCCATGTTTTGATATCAGAGCGGTGGAGGCTTCTGATAAAAAGGGAATATTGTGAAAGACATCTCCGACCTCATGGGGGTTACTCTGTGTAGAGAAGCATCATGGGTATTATGCAATAATCATACCACAATGTACCATCCCACCTCCTTAGACCTCATGAGAAACTGTAGGAACTGACAAAGACTTATTTGCAGGATATAATTATCACATTTTTATTACGTGTGACACAAAACAATTCACAGAGCATTTTCTTTGGTTACATGAGTCGGCACAAATATGCTTCAGCTGTTCTCTAAATTCTTTGTTTCTGTCTTGCAGGTGTCTCTGAGCACTGAATGTGTGCACGCCGTCATGAAGATGACATACTGTCCTCACTGTAGCGGCGTGGCTTTTGCCAAGCCCTGCTCAAACTACTGTAAGAATGTCATGAAGGGCTGCCTCGCCAATCAAGCGGATCTGGACTCGGAGTGGAGGAACTTGGCAGGTAGGCGGGGCCAAAATGGACCCTTTATAGTTGGGTTCCAGAAGTAAAAATGCCATTCTTTTTCTACAATCAGAAATTGATTTTTAGCATTTGATAACATATAAACCTTTAAAAACAGACCTGTTGTGAGCTATGAGGTTGTTAAATATGCATTAGTTGAAGCAATAAACTTAATATGTATAATCAACAAATTTAAATGAGTAATTTTGTATTTTATTCAGCAATTCATGGGACTGTAGTTCTTTCCCTCATTAAATCTGTTAAGTATACAGTCTTGTACCTTTGTCTGATTTTCAAATACTTCTATGCTTCAAATCAAATTTATAATGTTGCGATTCATCTCATATCTGGTTGGTTTGGTTCATGACTTAAAATGCTTTAACCAAGACCTTTAAAAAATCTCCATGGGAAAAATGAATGGAAAAAATGCTTCCGGAATCAACGCAATGGCAGTTTTGTACTCTATTAGAATGAAACGGACATTACAGCTTGTCACACATTAGATGAAAGTCAACATGATATAAAGACTTTGTGTTTGTGTGTAGATGCTATGCTGGAGGTAGTTGACAAACTGAGCCGGCCTTACAGTGTGGATTCGGTGGTTCTGTCTCTGCCAAAACGCATTGCTGAAGCTATTCTCTACATGCAAGACAACCTCAACACGTTCAACAATAAGGTCAGTGCTGCACTTTAAACCTGTCTGAAAAGCCTTAAAGGGATATTTCACCCAATGTTGTTCCAAAACCCCAAGACCTTCGTTCATCTTCGAAACACAAATTGAGATGTTTTTGATGAAATCCAAGAGTTTTCTGACCCTGCAGATAAGAAATGTATTCAAAATTGTTGAATAAAGTCGTTATTTTTATTTTCTTTGCACACAAAAAGTTTTCTCGTTGCTTCATAAAATTACGGTTGACCCACTGATGTCACATGTCCTAACTACCTTTTTGGGCCTTGAACGTGTCAGTTACATTGCTGTCTATGTAGGGTCAGAAAGCTCTTGGATTTCTTCAAAAATATCTTAATTTGTTTTCCGAAGACGAACGGGTTTGGAACGAAATGAGGGTGAGTAATTAATGACAGAATTTTCATTTTTGGGTGAACTATCCCTTTAATATTTAATATATCATTAATTTAAAAGCATATCAGGTGTTCTCAATAATTAATATCATCTTAAATCCTTTATCAGTAAATGAATCTTAAACTCCTGCTTATGTAAATCTTGAGCTAGAATTAACCAGAACCCTTTCTTGTTCTTCAGGTGTTTCAGGCATGTGGTTCTCCTACTCAGAGCTCCAAAACTGAAGACCAGATCAAGCGAGGTAGAAACACAGCAGAAGAAGTGAGCGGCACCCCAGGAGCCCAACTGGAGAAAGTGGTGAGTGTGTTTGAATGGTGTACAGTAGTAGTTTTTGCTTTAGGACCCTGCTTTACATCAGGCATCAAGTGGCAACCCAGAACAGTAACAAAAAAGTTGATTATACAAAATGTACACAAAATGCACTTTGAACTCTGGTGTTTATTAACCCAGTAAAGCATACTGTACATATGAAATAATAGTAAAAAAAAAAAAGTTTTGATGAGTATATTTACAGTGTATACATATTTGATACAGCAGGCTTTTATGGCTAGTATGATATAGGAAAAAATGAAGCTCATACTTGAGGAGAAAAAAAAATTATTCAACAGCTCAAACTGAGCAAAAATATGCAATTTGGTGCAGTCAATATTTATATGGCTGAAAAGCTTGCAATGCAAATTAATGAGATTGCCTTTTACTTGCTAAAAAGTATAAATTATCAGTCAGACGACAGAAGGCATGTAGCAGATTGTGCACAAAAGGTTTTTCAGCAAAGTTTTGATCATGTTGATAATTTAGAGGCCTTCAAAATTTGCAAATCAGTAGGCTTTATAGGGTTAATATTACTGTGAACTGAACAGGCTCAATAATATGCGAAATGATTAATGTCAACATATGCTGAGTAGGAACATTTAGTAAATGCATAAACAACAGCTGAAGTGTTATTTATTTTATTATTTGTAATTATACATATTTTTTCGTTGCTGTCTATGACCCTGTTTATGAGATCACATTTTCCATCCCATTTTCTTTCTCTCAGTTATCCGATGTGTCCAGAATGTTGAGAGATATCATGCAGTACTGGGTCCATTTGCCCAGAAAACTGTGTGTGGATCGCGAGTCTGGACCGAGTGAAGCAGACAGATGTTGGAACGGAATGAGTGTGGATAGGTAAATGCACATAAACAGTTCAATCAACCTCCGTTTTAATAGAAACACAACTCACATTCATGTACAGTGGCTACAAGATTATTTTAGCGAAATTTTATTGTACAAAATCTGCAGCTTTTCAAAAGTGGGGGAACACAGATATCACTTATTTTATTTGGGTCTGTCTGTGATGTTGCCTGTCAAATAGATCACATGCATCTTTCTTGTTGTGTTGTATTCTGTCAGGTATCTGCCAGAAGTGATGGGAGACGGGCTAGCCAGTCAGATCAATAATCCTGAGGTGGAGATTGATATTACCAAACCAGACATGACTGTACGCAAACAGATCATGCAGCTTAAGATAATGATCAACCGACTGAAGTATGCCATCAATGGAAATGATGTGGACTTCCAGGATACCAGTAAGTATACACATACACTATACTGTTAAAAAAATGTGGAGTCTTTTTTTTTAAAGAAATTATTACATTTATTCAGCATTATTATTATAAACAGTGTAGACATTCATAGAGTTAGAAAATATTTTTGTTTCAAATTAAAGTTATTCTTTTCGACTTTAAAAGAATCCTGAAAAAAATATGTATCACGGTTTCCCCCAAAAAAAAAAATTAAGCAGCACAACATTTTTAATGTTTCTTGAGAAACAAATCAGCATATTAGAATGATTTCTGAAGGATCATGTGACACTGAAGACTGGAGTAATGATGCTGAAAATTCAGCTTTGCATCACAGGAATAAACTACATTTGAAATAATTAAAATAGAATTTAAATGTTAATAATATTTTAAAATATTAGTTCTTTACTGTATTTTTGATCAAATCACATTTAAAATTGGAATAACTTTTAAAAATCTTACTGACCCCAAACTTTTGAATGACAGTGTATAAGAAAGTTGTTGTGGATTTCATTGTAGAAAATAATAAATCAACAGTTTAATAGTGAATAGTCATTGCTGATTTGGCTCCGTGTCAAAATAATAATAAAATAAAATAAAAATACTACACTGCAAATGAATAGTTAATAACATTTACACCATTAAAACAATGCCTTTTTATTTATATAATCAAAATAATGTAATAATTAATAATATTAACAGTTACCAGTATTATCTAGCACAAAATAAAATGAAAGATGCGAAGAGGGTGACAGCATTAATTTTGAACAGATAATCTTAAACCAATAAACCCCAAAAATGTTAATTTAACAGAATTGAAAACACAGTTATAAATAACTGCTTATTTTGCTACAAAAAGAAGGGACACTAACTGATTAATGATTGAAATTATTTTGCGAATTGGTCTTCGAACTGAATGAAATGATGAATGAACTAAAATGAGTCAGGTTCAAAACTAATTTAAAAACATCTACTGTCAGGCTACAAAAACTGAAGTTAACTTAGACATGCAGCTACTTTAAGTTAAGTTACTCTTCATCCCTGGAATGTAGCTTCGTCATTGCTGTGGAACGTTCCTGAACTCTGTCTCACTTCAGCTCATGATTCTCCTTGTTGTGTTCCCATCTTTAGGTGATGATATCAGCGGTTCAGGAAGTGGAATGTGTGCCAATGATCAGTGTTCCCGTGATCCACGTTTAACGGCCCCAAACACGGACAAACCCAACGTATACGCCTATCCGTCAGAGAACAAGAAGGTGGTGAACGGAAGAAGCAGCCAAAACCTTCCTTGCGTCAGCCTCTACCTTCTCTCATTGGTCACAGTCTTGCTTAGGCGATAATTGGCAGGCAATTCCACCAACTGGGACTGAGTTTAGGACTGGGTTGGATTGTGGAGGGGCGGGGTTAGTCACATTGCCAAAACAAACATGCAAATATCAACGGAATCCGGCGAATGCATCACTTTTTTTGTCTTGAATAAGAACACCATGGAATATTCTTAGATCTGTGTACTTTTTTGTCTCTTATTTCATATATGACACCCCTAGAGCTGGTCTTTTGCTTGTTTTTATGTCTGTGGTGAAAAGGGTCTCTGAGAATGCGCCAATCTGTAACAATGTCTATATGAAAATCCACCCCAACAAACAAAACATGCTTGTTTTTCCTTTTTCAAAAATCATTTTAGATTATATTTATTTATTAATTAAGACCCATAAAGATAAGACGTCTCTGGCCGCTCAAGCTTGAGAATGTCCTTCAACACTTGTTCAAAGTGAACAAAACATCAGAAAGAACCACGTGTTCTTATCTTTGTTTTAAAGCTTTCCTAATCATGAAAACAAGCTTTACTGAGTCTTGTTTCGTGAAGACCAGCTGTCTCACGCTCTCTCTGTCTCTTTCGCTCTCGTTTATTGTACTAATTTCCGCACTCTGCTTTGCAAATAGGTTTCAGGGGCCATTTTAAGGAAAACACACCATGTATTTACTCTGGATGTAAATAAACGTGTACTAACCACAGTCACATTTTCAGTATATCCTTGAGGACCCTCAACAGCACTGGAACAATATTTGGGATGAAACGTTAATGCACCAGCAATGAGAAAGAGATGGGCACGTTTTACGAAACGATGTGCTCTAGTCCGTAGGACAGATATATAATGACCGTCATCTCAGAGAGGGATTTTACACATGGGAAAAGACAAGCCGGAGAATGAAAGACTCGAAACCGGAGGGATGTGGAGGGGTTTCTGGACATTGTTAATTTGATATTGATTCAAACCTCATAGAGATGTGTGTGTGTATGTGTTATGTGTGAGTGCACTTCAGAGAAAGCGTTGCTTTGTAAGTACTCACTATACAAATATACACGTGTACTCAATACATGCTGCATCCACGTCAGATCTGATTAGCTCAGTGAGTCACAGATGTGTGTCTCAAATATTTCCCAGCCCCACACCCTGCCCTTCATTAGCAGACAAGTTGGGTTGTTTATGGTGCGCACACAATGTTGATGTGAAAACGGTGTTGCGCAACATTGAGCAAATGTTTGCGTAACCTTTTACCAATGAAAAGTCTGTCAGTTTTAGGTAAGAATCGTACTCTATGCAAGTATGTAAACGCAAATAATGTAAGCATGCATACTAATATTTTTGCGTCAATGTAGCGATAGCACACCTTAGTACTCAAGGGGGCGACAGATTTACCATCAAATGTTTACGTTATTGAATTGAATGTTGTTGTTGTTAAGGTAGCTATAGCTATAAACATGTTGACCATTGGACTAACTTGAACTAGCTTGCTGAGCTAAATAGCATGCATGCCTCCCATACTTGTGCTACATTGTGAAATACACCTAATATCCAACATCCCCATGACCTTACACAGGAAAAGTTGTTTGGAGAATAGATGGAAGGTTGAAATAATGTAAGCATGCATACTAATGTGCATTTTTGCGTTAATGTAACGGTATCACAACTTAGTACTCGAGGCGATACAGTTACCATCAAAAGTTTGCATTATTGAATATAATGCTGTTGTTGTTGTTGTTGTTGTTCAGGTAGATGTAGCTATAAATGTGTTGACCTTTGGACTAACTTGAACTAGCTTGCTAAGCTAAATTAACTTAAAACGGTTGATACGCCATGATAGTAGGTAAAATGTTTGCTAAAACTTGCCTAATACCCACAATAGTGCACCTTTCATACTTATGTTACATTATAAACACTGAAGCTAATTTCCAGCATTCCCGTGACCCTGCAGAGGATTTAATGGTTTGGAGAATGGATGGATTTTGGCTAATTTCATAACGCAATGTAAAATCAAGCATAGCTAGAAGTATTTGTGTTCTCGTACTTGCATAGAGTTTCAGGCCTAGGAGAGAATGATGCATTTTTTTGACCAAACCTGAAAAGAGCTTAATTTTGGCCTATTTTAATGAACTTTGCATCTGTAGAGGTTACAGGAAGCGATGTAACTGATTAAGGTTGCCATTGGCTTTGCAGAGAAAGTGCTGCAGTTTCGGTCACCATAAAGTGGCATACAGATCTGACCAGGTCTTTGAGATGTAAAACAACACCCCCTCCCTTCCAGTTTAGAAATGCTGCACTTTGCATGACGCACGCGGCCACGTCACATGATCAGGGGTCGATAACAGAGAAATATCCCACAGGCGGTGTTATGGATTGTTTGTTGATCGATTGGATCAGATATGGTTGAAAAAATGGACCCGTGGCACAATTCACTAACTATCTGTAGAGTGATCTGACCTGAAATCAGTCTTAACTGTCTTTAGCATGTTTGTTAAATCATTGACAGTTAGTAGTCTGACCCCAGGTCAGCTAAACAGTCCCACCTCTAGATGCAATGGCGTAACAGTGGCACTGCCACTGCCACTCGCTCTTTACTGATGAATGTGGCTGATATTGTCAAAATGTGCTGAGATGAAAAAATGAAATTGCATTCTGGTATATACTTTATTTTCGTTTGTTTGTTTAAAAAAAAAAACAATAATGGGGAGTTTGTGTTTAAGGTTGAAAGTAGAACATTTTGAAGAGACTGAGGAAATTATCTGTCCATTGTTGTTGTATGTTCTTTAAAAAGAAAGAGAAAAACCCTTGTGTCAATTATATAGATCAAAAGATTTTGAAAATATCTGTGTCACGTTCATTTTGTTCACACACGCACACACTTATAACACACAGACATGAGTGATGATACCCAAGTGCTTTGCATCTTTCTATAAAAAAATATTTTTCTTAAATTGGCCTGATTTGGAAGAAAATAAGTGGACCCAGGTTTATATATATATATATATATATATCAGGAGTCGATAACAGAGAAATATCACACACACACATATAACCAAAACTAACCATCATATATCAAAACACCCCTTTACTGAGTAAACTGAAAACAGTCATTTTAGTTTAGTTAATAATTTTATAACATATATGCATGTTACTAATTATAAACACAATTCAATGGAATTGTAAAAAATGTTGAATGTGGAAAACATTTAATATCTACCTGATATGATTACAACATGCATACACAACCAATAACTTGAATGTCCCCTCCCCCTAATTATACATAATCACCTGCTAGCAATCTAATGCTTCAACAGTATAAGCAGAAAGAGATACTACATTGCAACTGCGAGCAAGTAATTATGACCACGGACCTCTGAGATCACCCTCAGACATCACCTTGAATTATAGATTTCACCATACTTACTTCAGATATGAACACAGGTTAGTTTGTTTCTTCATCACCCTCCATTTCTTAAAGTGTAGGTGAAGGCAGATGTGAGAAACCCCCCTCAATGTAATTTATTTAAATCAAGTGTGGTTTTTCAAACAAACCATTTACAAACTATTTATTTTCATTCTCATTTGACAAAAATGATTGCAAAAAACAACCCAAAGCATTATCATCAAAGTCACTATAGTCTTTATCATAGCTCTGAACCAGCAGCGAACATAAAAACCGGTCCAGAATATCGTAAATGAGTGGAGTGGGACGATAGAGATCACCTGACAATTTTAACACATAATATTTTTATAATACATAAACTAATACATAACTCTTTTGTAAAGAGCCCACAGATCTAGCAGATATTTTCACTGCAATATGCCCTTATTATGAAACTGTATAAAGTATGTATGTGAATGTCTTGACTATAAACAGTCCTGTGAGACTGAAATTTAAGACCAAAACGACCTCTTTCTGCACATTTATTTACAGTATTTATGCAATACACTAAGAAGTGTGAGAACCAAATAGACACAATTTTCACACTTTTATTGCTGAAAACCACAAAAGAACACACATCAACCTTTTTAAAATGTTTTCCTCTCAGCTATGAGGGTCTGTTCCAATGTTTTCCTCCCTCTCACCTGCTCGTCTCCTGGGTAGAGCCCATCTGTGCCCTCTACACGACTGATGATGTCAACAGCCATTTCCTGTCTAATTGTGCCAATCTGTTCATGCCAGTGTGACTGCTCTGGGATCAGTATCAGTGCCTCATTGATTATTCTGCATAATCTCATTTGTTCTACAACTCTCTCTCTTTCTTGACATGCTTGGCTCATGTGGTTTCTTTCTCTTTCCCTGCTGATCAGGTGGGTCTGTGTTAATTTCACCCAATTGTGGAGGTTGATTACTGGAACAGACATCATTTATATTGTGAGCTGCTCTGCAGAGAGACCGAAAACTCTTATCTCTCATTCTGGGACTAAATTAGCATCTTATTCCTTCCCAAAACATGCAGACCGAACGCTCGGTACAGCAGATGGGCAATTTCTACATTAAGAAACATAGGGTTTTATATCCATTAGTTTTGTTTCCATGACACAGTCTGGACCAAATTAAACTGGCAAATAGTCAAACAGGGACTGAATATAGAAAATTGCATCTGTTTTTCCTTGTAATTTTTAGATATATAATTGGTTTGTTTTTCTAACCGTCTCTGTCTGTTCCTTACCAACAAGTACCATTCTTGTACTACTGTGGTTATTTTAGAGAAGTAATGTGCCATGGTGTTTTACACATTTGCTAATTCTAATAAGTGCAGATCTAAGATTTTGTTTTATTTTTTACTTGTGTTAAAATGATATACTTTAGTGCATGCTTCTATCTAGAGAACTGGAACAGGACAAGAGGCCTTGTCTTAAGTAACCAAAAAAAAACTTCACACTTGACACATCTATCTTTCAAAGGGAAGTACAATTTGTTATTACACTGAGACGCTTATGCAGAAAATACTACTTCTTTCTTTAAGTACTGACTTTTAAGATCTCATTTGTATTTTCTTTTCTTAATCGAATTGTATTTGCTTTAAGTTATCATTATTTAATATCAGTATTCCTTTATCAACAAATCCACTTCAGTTGCTTCACATACCATGCTTTTGGACACTTTTCTTTGAAGTACCCTTTAAATACCACAGTGTATAAATATTGTAATCCTACAATGCCATGAATCAAAGTAAAATATTACCATTCGGTTTCCATCACTGCACCACAACAGAAAACGTCTCAGGTTACTTATGTAACCATGGTTCCCTGAGTAGGGAACGAGACACTGCGTCCTCTAGGGGTCGCTATGGGGGAACGCCTCGTCGTGACCCGTGAACGAGGTCAATAACGCGTAACCCTAACCATACAGGATTTTAGAAAAGTGGGCAAAGCATAACGTGCAATCAGCTTCAGATTGGTGTGTTTGAAGCCTATCTCTTTTATGTGACATTAAGGCCCTGCTGCACGTCCCTCACTTTGATGAAATCTGGTCAGCAGGCAATGCGACACGCATCCTCTTTGTCCTGTGTGCTCCAAACACCCCGCATCCGCTTCTGCTGTCTTCCTCCAACAGATTGATACCAGGCAGACTCCCCACGAAACAAAAGCTTCAATGCGACAACGTGTCAGTCTCTGTGTTTATTTTTCAGAGCGATGGATGGCTGTAGGAAGATCTGAAGCGTATCTCTTCCCACCTCCAGATGGATGATGGTTAATAATGGGACAATGTGCTCGTCCAACGTCAACAGCGCTGTATTCCACATCTGAGATTCCTCTTGTGTTTGTGGAGCCACTAGCCAGAAATAAAATGCCATACAGTTCTTATTTGGGCTCTTTAAGAGTGAGTCCAAACGTTATTTTATTGTATTTGTGGTTCAGGAGCTGCACATCTTTCAGACATTTTTCCGTCTCTGTTAAACATTCCTTTCTCGCTAGACTAAATTGACCATTGCTGTTATTTATCCACATCAGCAAACTCTTCACTGATTCATAGCGTTTCACATTAAGAGGGCCTTGACTTTGCTGACAGAATGAAAATTCTTTAAAATATTTTGTAAAGTGTCTTCGGGAACACTGTAAAATACAAGTTTATTGCTTACTTTGACTGTACCACCTTCCAGAAATATGCCACTGAAGGCAAGACAAGAAAGTTATGGTCTGTGTGTTTTCCATACATAATTTTGGATATGGTTTTCTTCAAGATTTTTAAGTAGCTATCCTTTATACACACACACACACGTCTGGTCAGCTATCCTTGTAGGGACTCTCCATAGGCGTAATGGTTTTTATACTGTACCTAACCCTTACAGGAAACTTTCTGCATTTTTACTTTCTCAAAAAAACTCATTCTGTATGATTTATAAGCTTAGACAGACAGACAGACAGAGAGATACAGGGGTTGTACTTGTTGGGCCCTTGCACTGAAATGATTTTAAAACAAGATATATATACATACACATATTTTCTGAGACAATAAGCGAGTGGTGCTTCCCAAGTGTTGAATCATTGCCATGGCTTTGTTTTGTGGTTGCAAAATGTTTTTAGCATGTTGCTATGTGGATGTTTTGGGTGGTCGCCAAAGTCAAAAGAGTCCACCATAAAGTCGATAGATAGGCTATGCCCTTTTTAAAATAAATATATGGGATTTTATTTATTTATTTACTTACTTGCTTGCTTACTTACTTACTACCAGGCAAACCTTTAATAGCTTTCTTCAAAATTTATTTTGGGGTTTCATTAATGTTCATAGCACAAAGGCCGGACGAGCTGTATAACAAAGTTTACACTTGTTGAGTGATTTAAACAAATGCCCCCAAAGTAATCTCTTTTGTGAACGTTTTCAGTCGTTTTCGTGAGTGTTTATAGCCTATAGGCTTAATCATAAGGTTATGTTTAGCTGTTCACACAAAGGAGGACATATTATAGATCTAAAAACGACCGTTTGCCGCCATCTGCTGGCGTAAATATGTAATCCGAAATCATCACTGCACGAAATGAATATTGATGAGCAACAGATTCAAAAGACTCCAGTCACTGAGATGAATCTAAATCCCCCAAAGAGCAATAGTTGTTTGCCTTAGTTATACACACCATCTAAACAGGCTTGGATATTACTAAAGACCTTAATTAAAACAATTTATTAACAGTTTTCCGTGTGTGAGAATATTTACCCAAGCTAAGTTTGTTTGTGTATGTCTCATATCTGTCCCTTTACATCTTTCTCAGCAGGACTTTCCAATATGCATCACTTGTATTCACAATAAACAATCTTGTGTGTAAATAAGTTTAGCCGGTTTTGATCCAGTAAAATTTGATGCATTTCAAGCGTCAAAGCTGGTGTAAAAATGAAATAGTGCTGCTTATTAATGTTGTTGATTTTTACAGAAACAAATGCAGATTTGAAGCTGTTAGATATTCTGATGGAAACATTTTTAAATATTAGCCAAGCCTTTGCTGCCATCCAGTGGTTGTTTATAATAAAGAAATTTTCTGGGTTCAACTATGGCATTATTGCCACAGAAGTTGTTATTAATATTAATATTAATAATAATAATATTTATTATTATTATTATTATTATTGCTTCTTCTACTTCAATGTAGGCTACTCAATATTGCCTAATAGACCTTAATGAGTCTTCATTATTTACTGTGGTGTTCAACAGCAGCCACAGATGCTGTTCATAGCACAGGTTTACATGCGCCTTGAGAACTATCAACAATTATTAAAGTGTTTGTAAGAAAATATATTTATAGTAAGGCATTTTAGGGAATGTTTTGAAATCATTCTACCGCACTCTCCTACAAGTTTCATAGAATCGAGTCTCTCCGGGCTTTAACATCCCACCTC